TGGGAGGTAGGTGTTATCCTCACTTTACAGACAAGGAAACTGAGGCAGACGGCAGTTAAGTGACTTGCCCGGGGTCAGTAAGTGTCTACGGCTGTCTTTGAACTTACATCTTCCTGATTCCAGGATCAAGACTCTTGGCCGTCGTACCCTCTAACTGCCCTAGCTGAATTTAATGATCACGGCTGCCCTGAGAACTTCCAGATCTAGATAGGCTTCTCTTCTGAGTAGAACGCAGACAGTGTCCCTCTTCTGCGCACCAGACCCAGTGACTTCCTGGAAATGTTTTGTTTTTTTAGGAATTTAGTTTTCACTTTTTTATCATTCTGAACTCAGTTGGTATAAATGAACATAAACATTTCCAGGTACAGCAAGTCCCTGTTACATACAGCTTGGAGGGGTTGGGGGGCATAATAAATTCAGCATGTTCGTTCCAAAGCTGCCCGACTTCTCTGCGTCCCTCTGAACCTTCCTCTGTTCTGCTCTTTTCTTTTGGGGGGAGCATCCTTGTGGTTAGCACCTGCCCAACTGCGCCCCCAAACAAACCAACAGCTCTTCCTGGTAACAAGCTACTGACTGTATATTTAAGACTCTGTGTCCCCCATGTATAACCTATACTGAGTTGTTTGCCTTTTCAGTGAGGGTGGATGGGGAGGGAGGAAGAGAGAAAATTTGAAACCTAAAGTTAAAAAAAAAATGTTTTCACATGCTACTGAGAAATAAGAAATATAGGAGATGGGGTATAGAAGTAGGAAAATAGAAGGGGAAGGGGATAAGAGAAGGGAAGAGAAGAGAGGACAGACTAGGGGAAGGGATATTCAGAATGCATGCCATCCTGGGGTGGAGGGAGGGGTGAGATGGGGCGAAAATTTGGAACTCAAAAACTTGTGGAAGTGAATGTTGAAAACTAAAAATAAATAAATTTATATTAAAAAAAAAAGATAACACCTGGAAGATCAAAAAAACAAAACAAAACAAAGTGATCTTCCTAAAACACAGGTCTTGTCACATTACCCCACCCCCAACCTCTACCCACTCAGTAAACTCCTTATTACCTCCAAGTTAAATATAAAATCTTCTGGTTGGCTCTTAAAAACCCTCCACAGCCTGGCCCCCTAGTATCTTTTCCGTCTCCTTATAATTTCCTCTCCTCTACTATTTGGTGACCCAGTGACACTGGCCGAACTGTTCCTAGCACACTACATTCCATAGCCCTACTCTGATATTCTCCCTTCTGATCTTGGCTTCCTGGATTACAGACACTCAGATTCCACCTTCTGAAATAGTCCTTTCCCAGTCCCTCTTCCCTAGCTTCTTGCCTCACAAGTTACCTTTCATTTCCCTGTGTATATCCTATATGTACACAGTTTGCATGCCTCCTCGTTAGAATGGGAACTCCTTGAGGGCAGGAACTATGTTTTTACCTTTCTTTGTATCCCCAGTGCTTAGTAGAGTGCCTGGCACGTAGGAAGTACTTAATAAATGCCTGTTGACTGACAAAAAAAAAAAAAGACTCCGTGTCCCCTGTGCATCTCAAGCTCAGCACCTGAAACCAAACTTGTCTTTACCCCTGAACTTGTTCCTGCTTTTGTCAGGTCGATCATCTTCTTTCTCGTTGTCTAGGTTGGCAGCCCGAGTCAGCTCCGACTTCTTGTTCTTCCTGCCCCCCAGATCCAGTCCATCATCTGTTCTCCCTCCATCACCCTCTGTCCCACGTATCCTCCTGTTTCTCCTCATGGGGCCCCCTCCCTCATTCATCTCTTCCTGGGATGGTGCTGTAGGCCCTCCATACTCCTGACCCTGTGGAGGACTGCCCCCTCCACTCAGCTGCCAGTGTGATTTTTCCTGAATTGTGTATCTGCCCATGATGTCCCAAGTTCTCTGGAGGTTACTGAAAGCCCTTCACAACCTGCACCCAGTCTTCCTTTCTAGCCCTGTTGTTGACTTTCCCCCACTCTGGGTCCATCCAAACCAGCCTTCTAGCTGTTCCTCACCCATGAAGCCCATCCCAAAACCTTTCCTCCTTACCCAGGCAAGCACTGCCTTCTGTGAGAGGCCTTTTCTTCTCTTCCTCTCTCTAAGGGCCTCCAAAAATTGCCTCCTGTATTTTGCATATGCTTCTCTGTTGTTGAGGAAGACATATTAACATTGTACTCTGCCTTTTAGGTACCAGTCTGGAGAAACACATTTTATTTAACATTCTGAAACCAAGCATTTCTAGCTTAGAGTGATAGTTATCCATACTGGCATCTCATTCTCTTCATTCACCCACCCCAACCGTAATCTCTCTTCCCTAAGACCATTTGAGGTCACATTTATAGGAGTCTTGTGCAGGGCAGAGGTTACAGTGTGTATTACAAAGTGCAATTTAGGTCACCTCCGTTCTAGTTCTAGAATAATTGTCACTTAATTTTGGACTGAAATCCCTGGGGCAGCTGGATTCCTCCTTGACCTCCTCCAGGTTTGAAAGGGCTTCCTTCCTGTGTCTCACCGTAACCTTTGTGAAGGGGACAGAGTGCACAGCCCTTGGGTGTGAGCCCTAGGGCTAAGTTAGGAGGGCTGTGAACCCAGCTAGACCAACTGGACTGTTTCTGGGCCTTAATTTTGTATTCTTAACCTTCAGGACCGTTTCCTAAAGTAGAAAATCTAGAAAAGATGTGGGGGTGAAGAAGTATTTATTTCCTAATCTTTTCACTCAAACCAAAAAAGAGTGTTTGGATATGCTTCCACAATGTGTCTCACATGTTATTTCCCCCCAGCAAGACCTCAGCTCTGGGAGGGCAGGAACAGTTTGATTCTTTATCGTGCCTGACACATAGTAAGCACTCAGTAAATACTAATGAATTGTAACAAAGCATATGAATGTTGAGGGGAGAGTGCCACACTGATGCAAGGAAGGGACGGAGAAATGAGGCAACGCTCCGAAAAATTTATTTTGGGTTTTGGTTTTAATTTTTTAAATTAAATTCTTCTCCCCCCCCCCAAATAATGCACATCCAGTTTCTCTCCCATCTGCTTGCCCTGGTGCCCACTGATAAAGAGAGAAAAACAAAATTCCCATAACAAAATAGCAGATGTCTCAGTCTGCTCCCCAAATCTGTCACCTGCCTCTCTGTCAGGAGAGTGAGTATCCAGAAGGGACATGGGAAGTGCCCACTCTGTTTCTAGCACTGGGCTAGATATTAGGGGCAAAAAGACAAACACTTTACTAGTCCCTGCCCGCAAAGAGCTTATGTATTAATGAGTTTAAATGTAAGTACAAAGGAACAAACCAGATTTAATAAGCTTTATGGACATTTAATATCAAGGTTATTAAACCATTAAAATTTGCAGCTCTCAGGGAAAAAGGGTTAGTATCACAGAATTGTTTTTATAAAGTGCTAAAAAGATCACTGGAGTTCATGAACTCTTCTATCTTCAATTTTAATGAAGAAAACACTTAATTTCCTGTTTTTAGAAGGGGATCATGGGCCTTAGAATCATGGCAGTTGTCTCCTTTGATGGAGAAACATCTCCATCTTGTGGAATTTTACAGTCTTGGTATAAAAGCCACTTTATAAACCCCAGCACTTTGGACATTCATGCTTTCACCCTGCAATGCTGCAGAGATCTGGCCACTGATAACACATTTCCTTCTCTTTGTTTGGCTTGGTTTCTCTGAATAAATGGAGGGGTTTTATTCAGGTTTTTGCTTCAGTGTCAGTCAGCTCCAGTGGCAGTAACTTTCTCTACTAATCGAATATTTTGGATGTGTGGTACAGTGGACAGGTCCTGCCTTAGGATTCAGGAGCCCTGGTTCTATTTCTGGTTTAAATTCAATGTACCATTCTTCCTGGTGTGTGTAGAGAGTTGGGCTTGGTTCTGGTTGGAGATACAAGGGTTAGTGAAGACGTAATTAAGGATGATATGAGCTCCTCAAGGGCAGGAACTGTGGCATTGCCTTTCTTTTTACCCCAGGGCCTGGGACAGAGAAGCCCTTCATAAATGTATGGCTTTGTTGATTAAATAGTGCTTCCTCCTAGGTAATCTCTGTGTGTGTGTGTGTGTATGTGTGTGTGAGAGAGAGAGAGAGTTATAGATATGTACACATATATAGAGATATACATATGTACAGATATATACATATATATGGATGCCAAATGTATGTGCATTATATATGTAAAGACACATTGTCTAGATGTATGCACATCTGTGATATAAAATATATCCATTATCTGCCAGCTGATGTCCCTGGAGACCATAAGTTCTGCTACCATGCTGAAGAAGATTTTAAAATAAATCATCCCCAACATTTCCATCTTATTTTCCATCCACTTGTCCACCACTTGCTTTGGGGACAAGAATTACTCCCAATATGACCTTTTGGAAAGATCTTACGGGTTACTCCTTAGGGCTTTATCATTCCTGTGACTCACCAGAACAAGACACCCTTTGCTGGCCCCACTCCCCTCCCCCATGTGTATTATTTCTCCCTTTTAGGATGTGAACATCTAGAGGGCAGGAAATAGATTTTTGTGTCCCCAGGCCTTAGCATCTAGTCTGGCACGTAGAAGGTGGCTATTGGCGCTGTGATTGATAGAAGCATGGCTTTCCTGTATTCCTTTCCTTGAATCTCTAAGCCTCTCTGTGTTGGTAAAGCTTCACTTCTTATTGTTCTCAACAATAAACAATGATACCTTGGTTAAACAGCCAGCCCTAATTTAGTTCCAACATCTCTGACCTCAAGTCCATACTCATTCCACTTTTCTCATTCATTTAATTGACTTTTAGTGTCCTTTTATGTTATTTTATTTTAATTTTTGCAACCTCATTGCTTACTTCCATAGGCAGACATGCCCCATGGCTATAGTGTGGGTGTAGGCACTCAGTAAATCCATGATATGTCAGATGAGTAAAAGAAGTAAACTGTTTTTGAGTTGGTGACAAGGAAAAAAGTCTGGTAGATAGCTCTTGTTGAGAACATCAAGTCCTTAAAAGCTATTTTTTTCTCTCTCTCCCTTTAGACCCGACACCAGAGAGGTGACACACATCCACTGACTTTAGAAGAAATTTTGGATGAAACCCAGCATTTGGACATAGGGCTTAAGCAGAAACAATGGCTAATGTCTGAGGTAAGTGGAACAGGCTTATGTGAAAACGCAAGTCAGAAATACAAATGGGAAATCCTTGACATAACCAAATGTGTGGTTTTTGTACAAATTGTTGCTTTTTTTTCTGGAAAAAATGTTGTAGGTTTTTCTGTGGGGTGTATTTCAAAAGTTATTGGTTTATAGGTAAATAAATATTGATGTTGTCTGCAGTTCTCACATAATCTTCAATCTATCTATATTAAGTCCTGAGCTATAATGCTAAAATAAAGACTGCGGATGCTATAATAATATGATATATAATACTATAATAAAGACTGAAGAGAAAGGCTGAGAACAAGTTACTATATCTCTGTCTGAAAAATGGACTGCTAGAGGGGGCAGACACAAACAGAACCCTGTCATGAAGAGCCATCATGGGGATATGGAAGCTTGAGACGCAAACACAGAAGAGAATGACTGGAAAAACTCTATATGCAGAACCTCAGAGACAAAATGCAGCTGGGACACAAGTCCAATAAGAATTCCTAGGAGGGTTAAAGGAGAACCTAAAAAATGATTTTTGAAACCAAATGAGAGTAGTGGAGAAAAGAACGGGGAAAATGGCCAGAGGTAGGGAAGAAAATAGGAAAAGAGAGAGAAAACCTTACTGAAGAAAAGAACTCCTTCAAAATAGAATTGGCCATATGGAAGCCAGTGACTTCATGTGACAGCAAGAAATAGTAGAAGTCCAAAGACTGAAAAAATGGAATAAAATGTAAAATATGATAGGAAAAGCGACTGACCTGGAAAACATATTGAGAAGAGAGAGGTTAAGAATCACTGAACTACACAAAAACCATGAGAGTCTGGACATCACATTTCAAGAAATCATAAAGCTGCCTGTATCTCTTAGAAGCAAGGATGAAGTAGAAACTGAAAGGCTCCACCAGCCACCCTGGAAAGAAGCCCCAAAATGAAAATTCCCAGAAATATGTCCAAAACGTAGAGCTCCTAGGTCGAGGAAAAACTGCTCCAAGCAGCTGGGGAGGAGAAGCCAAGATGAGAGTCACATGAGGTTTAGCCACCACCATGAAGAGCAGAGAACTTAGAATATGATGTTCTTGAAAGCACAGGATCTAGGCCTATGCAACCAATAATAACCTGCCTGGCAACACTGAGTGATCCTACGGGGGGAGGTGTCTATTTAATGAAATAGAGGACTTGCAAGCGTTCCTGATGAAAAGACTAGAGCTGAATAGAAAATCTGACATTCAAACACAAGACTCAGGAGAAGCATAGAAAGGGAGAATAGTGAGGGGCTAAACAAGGTGAAGCTTTTCACTTTCTTCTGTGGGGAGGTGATGCGTGTAATTCCTCAGAACTTTTTCATCACCAGGGATCATAGAATGAGTCTAATTAAATAAAAGATGTGGGTATGATTCTGTTGTATTTGGATGATCTCAAAAGGAAAAGGGAATGGGTGGGGAGAGGAATACACCGAGAAGGGGGGAGGGAAAGGCAGACCGTGCACATAAATGTGGTGTACAAGAAGGAGAAGACCAGGAGCCACAGACGTGGAACCCTCACTCTCATCTGAGCTGATTAAGAAGGGAGCAATATACAGACGTACACAGTTAGATGTAGAAATGGTCTTACCCAGCACAGAAATGGGAAGGAAAGAGGTGAAGGGAAAGGTGGGGGGCACGAGAGCTAGGAAGGGCAGGTGAAGGGAGGCAGCAGTCAGAAGTGAAGCAGACTCTTAAAGAGGGGACGGGCAAGAATAGAAGAAATACAGTTAGCGGTTGTGACTGTAAATGCGACTAACTCACCCATAAAATGTTAAGAGGGCAGGTTGGACTAGAAACTGGGATTCAGCAGTATTTGTTAGCAGATGGACACACAGAGGTCAAAGAAGGAGCTAGAGAAGAATTTGTTATGCTTTAGCTGAAGTAAAAAAAGGCAGGGGTAGCAGTCATGATCTCAGACAAAGCAGAAGTAGGTCTTATTAAAAGAGATGAACAAGGAAACTACATTTTGCTAAAATGTACCATTGACAGTGAATTAGTAATAATGAACACGTGCACCAAAATGGCATAGCATGTAAATTCTTAAAGGAAAACTTAATTTAATTACAGGAAGATAGAGGCAATAAAACTATACTAAATGAGGAGCCTCCATTTGTGTGTCTAAGATGTAGACAAATTTGACCATAACAATAAGAAAGAAGAAGAGATAAATAAAATTTTAGACAAGTTAGATATGCCAGACCTCTGGAGAATATTGAATAGGAATAGAAAAGATTACACCTATTTCTCAGCTGAGCATGACACCTTCACAAGCATAGATCACATGTATGAAGGCTTAAAAACCTTTTTTAAAAAGTGGAAAAGCAGAAATAGTAAATGTATCTTTCTTCAGACCACAGTGCAGTAAAAATTATATTCCATAAAAGGTCTTTGAATCAAAGATTAAAAATTAATTGGAAACTAAATAACTTAATTCTAAAGAGTAGATGAACCCAAAAACAAATCAAAGAAATAATTTCATTAAAGATAATATTGAAAAAATATACCAGAATTTGTGGGATGCAGCCAAAGCAGCACTTAGGGGAAAATTTATATCTCTAAATGCTTACAGTAAGAAAGGAGAGAAAAGTCAGAGCAGTGAACTGGGCATACAATTAAAATACCAGGGAAACAGTCAAGTTAAAAGCCCTTAATTAAGCACCAAAATAGAAGTCCTGAAAATCAAAGAAAGAAGAATACCAAATTACTAACATCAAAAATGAAAGAGTGTATTCACAACCAATGAAGAAGAAATAAAAATAGTTATTAGGAACTATTTTGCCCAGCTATGTGGCAGTATAACTGACACTCTAAATGAAATGGATGAATATTTACAAAAATATAAAGTTGCCCAGATTAACAGAATAGGAAACCAAATACTTAAAATAACCCTATCTTAGAAAAAGAAATTAAACCATAAATGAGCTCCCTGCCAAAACAAAACAAAAAACAAAAAGATAACATACAAATGAAAATTCTACCAGATGTTTAAAATACAATTCTAATACTACATAAATGGTTTTCTTAAAAATAGGTAAAAGAGGTCCACCAAATTATGTCTATGGAACAAATACTGCTTTGATACCTGAATGAGGGAGAGTTAAAACAGAAAGAAAACGACCAATTTCACTAATGAATATTGATGTGAGGTTTTTAAATAAATTGCTAGCAAGGTTTTATCTTACTTTAACATTATCTCACAAATCATACAGTATGAACTGGTTGGATTTATTTCAGGAATTCAGGACTGGTTCAGCATCAGGAAAATTATAAGCATGATTTACAATATCAATCATAAAAAGAAAAAACATGATTATTTCAATAGACATAGACAAAGCTTATGACAAAATACAATATACATTACTGTTAATAACACTAGAAGGCACAGAAATAGACAAAACGTTGTTTAAAATGTTGTGTAAGCAAACATCTGTAATGGGAATAAACTAGAAGCTTTAACATTAAGATCCAGGAGGAAGCAAAAGTAGCCAGCATCACCATTGTTGTGCAGTATTGCAATAGAAATTATACGTGTGTGTACATAGAGAGAACAATAAGACAAGAAAAAGAACTTGAAGGAATAGAAATAGACAGGGAGGAAAGAGAACGAGCACTTTTTGCGGTGGGTTGGTGGCATATGTAGAAATCTCCAGAAAGTCAAGTACAAACCTGAGCAAACAACCAACAGCACTAGCGAAGTTGCAAGATATCAAGTAACCCCCCGCAAATGGCCACCACTTCTATTCGTTACCAGCAGAACCTGACAGGAAGAGATGGAAAGAGAAATTCCATTTAAAATAACTGTAGAAAGTGTCACAACTTTCTCCAAGTTAACTCCAAGTTAAAACTTGGAGCTTTATAAATACAGTTACAAAACTCTCCACACAGATAAAGACATCTAAAGAACTGGAGAAATACTAATTGTTCGTGGGTAAGCCAAGCCAATATGATAAAAACGATAATACTCTCCAAATGAATTTACTTATTCGGGGCCATACCGAAGAATTGCTTTTTAGAATTAGAAATAGTATAACAAAAGTCATCTAGAAGAACCAAAGGCCAAGACTATCAAGAGAATCAATGAAAAGAAATGCGAAGGAGGTGGCCTGGCAGTGCCAGATCTCACAGTGTGTTACGGAGCAGTAATCATCAAAACAAGGTGGTGCTGGGTAAGAAAAAGAGCCGTTGATCATTGGAATAGATTAGGTACAAAGTATATAGAAGTAAATGACTGCAGCTACCTACTGTTTGATAAACCCCAAGATCCCAGCTTTGGGAGCGAGAACTCACACTTTCACCAAAAAGCTGCTAGGAAAACTGGAAAGAGGTTTGGCAAAAACTAGGTATAGGCCAGTATTTCACAGTGTATGTACAAGATAAACTCAGATAAAATCAGTGCATGATTTTGATATAAAGGGTGATATCATAAACTGATTAGTGGAGCAGAGAAGAAATTGTTGTCAGATCTATGGAAAAAGGAAGAGTTCATGGCCAAACAAGAGGTAGAGGTTCACAGGAGGTAAAATGATGCAATTTTGAATTATATAAAATTAGGAAGGTTTTGTAAAAAACAAAACAAAAAAAAAACACCCCTCAATACATCTAAAATTAGAAGAAAAGCAGGAAACTGGGGAAAAAAATCTCTGCAGTAAGCTTCTCTGATAATGGTCTCATTTCAAAGATTTGTAGATAACATTTTAATTTATAAGAGAATGGGCCATTCCACAATTGATAAATAGTCAAAGGATACGAATAGATGGTTTTCAGAGGAAGAAATCAAAGCTATCAGTAGACATCTTAAAAAATGCCCTAAATCACATAAATTAGACAAATTAAAACAACTCTGAAGTACCGCCTCACATCCATCAGATTAGCTAAGATGACAAAAAGGAAAATGACAAATGCTAGAGGGAATGAGCGAAAAGAGGGACACCAACTGCACTTTGGAGGCGCTGTGAAATGGTCCAACCATTCTGGAGAACAATTTGGAGCTCTTCCCAAAGGGTAAAAAAATTGTGCATACTCTTTGATCCAGCAATACCACTACCAACTCTGCATCCCAAAGATATCGAAGGAGGAAAAGGACCCACGTGTGCAAAAATACTGACGGCAGCTCTTTTTGTGGTGGCCAAGAGTTGGGAATTGAGGGGACGCCCATCCGCTGGGGAAAGGCTGAACGTGATGTGGTGTATGAGTGGGATAGACTACTATTGTGCCATAAAAAAATGATGGCGATTGTTTCAGAGAAATCTGGGAAGACTCGTGTGAACTGATGCAAAGTGAAATGAGCAGAACTGGGAGAACAGAAACCGCCATATTATAAAGAAAATAAACTTGGGAAAGGCCGAATAACTGATCAACACAATGACCCACCATAACTTTACTCATAATATTAAATGCCGTCCACCTCCAGAGAGAGAACTGATAAACTCGTTGTAGACAGAAGCACATTTTCTTCTCTTTCTTCTTCTTTCAAGGAAGGAGGAGTGGGGAGGAATGGCTAATGCAGGAATTTGTTTTGCTTGACTGAACATATCTTGCCTTCTCAGAGGGTGAGGGAGGAGGTGGGGGAGGGGAAGAATCTAGAACTGAAAACGAAGTAAAATTGGATTTTTAACCATCTGGTCCAGTGTTGAGTGGTGGTGTCCTGAGAGTAGAACTGAAGAGTCCCTGTGTATGTTGCACATCCTCTTGCTCTGTCACTGTTACAGGCGCTAGTCAACAACCCCAAAATTGAAGTAGTAGATGGGAAATACGCCTTCAAGCCCAAGTACAACCTGAAAGATAAGAAGGCCTTGCTCCGGCTCCTCGATAAGCATGACCAGAGAGGCTTGGGAGGAATCCTCCTAGAAGACATTGAGGAGGGGCTGCCCAATGCCCAGAAAGCCATCAAGGTGATTGTGTGATGATTGTGCGTTTGATTACCAGAGATGGTGGATGCTTTGCTTTTTATGATTTTTCAACATCCTTCCATGGAAGGGGCCAGGCGTCTGGGGGAAGCAGGGGGCGTTCTGGCGACAGTGCTGCGTGTGCAGCCAGACGGGGGTTAGGGGTGAAGAGAGCCATTGAAAGCCCGTGACTCCAGGGCCTTTGGACAAGGGCTGGAGTGCACCCAGTTCACAATAGGGTTACCTCTTGCCACAAGCTAACTAGTCTGTGCTGCTGGTTAGGATGAGAGCTCTGGCCTCTTAGTGCTGGGAGGGAATCCTGTTGGGGAAGTTGGAGGGGGGAAGTGTTGGGGCGGGGCAGGGAGCGGATATGTGTTGGCTAGAGGAAGCCTTCGTCTGGCTTATTCTGGGCTCTGACAGAGTTGTCACAGTGGTCAGACCTAGAGGACTGGGTGGATCACACTGGGCTCAAAAGTAGCAAAGGTCTGCATAAACCAGTTTGGCTAGGATTTAAATTCATGAGGAGGAGCCATGGGGGAACAAAGACAGGGAAAGAAGGCCAGGAACTTGGGCTTTATCCTGTGAGCACTGTGGAGACCTTGAGTATTTTTTAGTGATCAAAGTGATGCTTGATATATAGGGAGGTGAGTCAGATTTATAAAAACACAAGCCATTCAATTGATAAATGGTCAAAGGATACCTGTGCAGGTAATTTTCTGATAAAGACTTCTAAGCCATCGGAGAAATGTACATTAAAGCAATTCTGAGGTACCACCTCACACTCGCCAGATGGCTAACATGACAAAAAAGGAAAATGACAGATGCTAATGGGGATGTGGAAAAGTAGAGACACCAGTGCACTGTTGGTGGAGCTGTGAACTGGTCCAGCCATTCTGGAGAACAATATGGAACCATGCCCAAAGGGCTGTGAAACCATGCAGACTCTCAGACCCAGCAATACCACTGCTCAGTCTGTATCCCAAAGAGGGCAGAGGGGAAAGAAGGACCTATGTGTATAAATACTTATAGCAGCTCTTTTGGAGGCAGCAAACAATGGGAAATCGAGGGGATGCCTGTCAGTTGGGGAATGGCTGAACGAGTTGTGGTGTATGATTGTGATGGAATACTGTTATGCTAGAAGAAGTGACACTCAGATTGGTTTCAGAAAAACCTGGGAAGACTTTGGAGGTTGGCATCTATTTCTAGTGGAAATGGGAAGGGAATCGGCATTTTTACGTCGCCTCCAGAGTTTGCATTTCTCATTCTGGAATCGTGCCATCCTTCTGAGTTTCTTGGTCTGGCTTTCCCCTGGGGGTTGGGGCTTCTCCGAAGATAGCCTCTGCGGATGCTTGGGGACTACTGGGAGCCCCTGTGAAAGTTGTTCGTCCCAAGCAGCGGCTCTGGCTTGGCGAGGGGGGCGGGAGGGTGGCAGTGGTTCTCAGGATTCAAAGTGCTACAGATGACCATCCCCCGTCACATTCAGGCCCTGCTGGGAAGAGTCGTTCCCTCCTATCTCCATGGTAAGGAAGCCCATAGATGGCCTAAGTCAGATATTTTGCTCACTCAGATTATAGAATCTAAGCTTGCCCCAAATTGCTAGTGACAGAATTTATTTTAAGGTAAAACTTCTGAAGATTCTTGCAGAAGTGTCCTAAGTCACGGACCCAGTAGAGACAACTAATTAGCAAGGTGGTCCAGGGGAGTGACTGGAACCATGGACAGATTTTTTTAGGAAGCTTCTCTAGCAGTCTAAGGTAGGGCCTTACTTTGGATTCAGGAGATGGATGTCCTTTGGCCAGGTGCACCCTTCAGGAGAGCCAGCGGCACAGCCCCACTGGCCCGCAACACTTGGGGAGACCTACCACTGGCTCCCACCCTAGTGGGAGCCTATAGTTCCACTTCTCTGTAGGCTGCTCGTTCTCTCCGTGCTGCTGATCCATCGCCTGGTGATGATGCTGTGAGAAGAGCTGGGCGTGGTCATCCTGTGTCCTTTCTCACTGGAAGTCCACAGACTCTGATTGTTGTCTGCTGCTTCTGCCGCCGTGGGAAGGTCTAGATCATAGGGGCATAGAGTGGGGCAGAATAGGACTGAATAGGAACGTCCTGAGTTCAAATCTGGCAGCAGACACTTCCTAGCTGGGTGGCCTGGGCAAGTCACTTCACTTCGTTTGCCTCACTTTTCTCATCTGTAAAAATGAGTTAGAGAAGGAAATGGCAAACCCCTCCATTATCTTTGCCATGAAAACCCCAAATGGGGTCACAGAGGGGTCAGACAGGACCTTAGAGGTCTGACCTCCCCATGTTACAGCTGAGGAATAAGGCCCAGAAAGGTGATGTACCTCCCCAAGGCCAAGCACATAGAGAGTAGCAGGGGTGAGATTTGAGCCCAAGGCCTCTGTCCCAAAACTGTCATAAGCACATAGGGCATTGCCTTGTTTTTAAATCCTCTCGGATTCTGAAACTCGCCTTGGTCATCCATTTTTATCTTTAATAATGCCCAGGGCAGCTATTCAGCACTGCTCCCTCAGAGCCCTCCTACTGTAGCTTCCCTTGGCCCCTTTCGTCTGAAAGCCGTTACTGGTTAGTTCAGGTCAGGGGGGTCGTGCCTGGCCCCGCATGAGGAGAAGGGCCATGTGGGGAATGGCTATGGTCCACACTCGGGACGAATCTCTCTCCCCCAGCCCCTGAAGGTCACAGAGCTTTCAGAACGTTCCCGTAGCACATGGGCTGTTCTCGGGGGGTGACTTCATGGGGCTGCCTTTTGGTCCAGGGCCTTTGACTGAGCCAAGGAGAGGCTGAGATCTGCATCTCCCTACAGTACTATAAATCTCAGAAGAGGGCCCTGACACATGGCTCCTCTCAGAGAGTATGGAAGAAGCCGAGGCTGGGGTCAGGAGGGGAGACCTGGCTTCAAATGCTGCCTGGAAGCTTCAGGCAGCACTAGCCTTGCTCTTGGTACCATGTGAGCTGTGTCTGGGTATTTGTGACGGTAGTTGTGTCTACGCAGGTCCTTTGACATCCTCTGGCTCACACCCCTTGTTTGTCCAAGGGAGTCCTAGACTCCTGGGTCTCCGTGCCCGGGCTGGCTTTTGGCTTCCCACAGTCAGCACCCCGTCCTGACTTGTGTGATTGCCAGCACCCGTCAGCTTCACACACACAGGGCGTGGGGGGGGGGGGTGCCTGCAGACTGAAGCTCCTTGGTGTTCACCCTGACAGCTGTGTGCGCATAAGAGAATCACTTCTGTCTATACTTCTAAATTACAGGCCTTGGGGGACCAGATCATCTTTGTCACGCGTCCTGACAAGAAGAAGATCCTTTTCTTCAATGATAAGAGCTGTCAGTTCACAGTGGATGAAGGTGAGTTAGCCCGGGGAGGGGACCCCAGGGGTCAGAGTTGGGCCTCATGAACCCCAGGAGGAGCAATGGCTGACCATTTTGTGCGTTGTCGTTGTGCTGGGGCTCCAGCTGCTGGGCACTGCTCATCTCTCGAGATTTCACGCCTAGTGATTGTTGGTCACATTTGTAATTGTGTCACTGCCTGGCAGAGAAGGGTCAAGCTGGAGGTCCTCATAGTGGAGGCCTCACACTCCCCCTCGCCCAGCTACCTCCCCACATAGTACCATCTGTGTCTGTAAGTGTCACTGTCCATATAGGGTAGACTGAGGTCTACAAGTGGGATTCAGACCCAGATCTCTTTGGACTCTGCCTCCAACTGTCTTTCCCTGCCTCTTGTCACAACTTCTTTATCACTTTTGTTTTAGCAATGTGATTACAACAAAAATTGTAAAATTTTGACATGAGAAAAATTAGCAGAAAATTAGACTGCTGGCTGATATGCAGGAATCATAAAAGTGTCTGGAATGAGTCAGGACTCAGGACTAGGATAGGACTGCTTTGTAATGAACATCAAGACTTTCCCAAAGAACCATGCTCATTAGTTATTTCTCACCTTTGTTATAACATGTGAGGGGTCATCTTGGAGGGCTCACATTTACAGTTTTGGGGTCATGTCTTCTGCCTACCTAGGTACTGCTCTGTCATTCAAGGCTAGACAGCTGGAGTCCCTATTTTTATTTGAAACCCTTAATATGATGACTATGAGGGGCTTTGGCGGGGAAGGGAGGTGTCATGCTATGTCAGTAGAGTCCGCCTTTCACAAATACCACAGTAACTGTTCTCAAGAACCCACTTATGACTATGTCTTGTTCCGCACAAAGTACTAGAAATCTACAATATGCAGTTCCACCAAATAGATTCTTTTTGTTCCTGACACAGCGCTTTGAAAAGCAAATCAAATTTTATTAGCAATAACTTGATATTTCATGCCAGTGCAGCAATAATAGAAAGGCAGAGCAGTATTGGGCCTCTCAAAGTGAGGCTGTGTCAGATACAGAGAAACATCCCCGCTTTGCAGGATGTCGCCACCTACTCTTTCTCCACTTTATTATTGGCAGTACAGCGTTCATCCAGTTTTTTTATGTAAACAAATGTGTCTTCCTTTCTGTATAACATAGCAAAAATTTCCATTTTTAACTAAATTTTTATTGATTTTTTTTTTACATTTCCCAAATTTCTCCCAGTGTTCCTCTGCCTTCTCCCCAGAGAACCATCTGATATAACAAAGAATATTGTTTTCTTTTTTTTTTATTAGTTCATTTTGATTTATCAACAATCACTTCCATAAGCTTTTGAGTTTAAAACCTTTCTCCCCCTCCTTCCCCACCACCCCCTCCAGGACGGCGCACGATCTGATATAGGCTCTACACATACATTCCTATTAAGCATCTTTTCACGTTAGTGATATTGTAAGGAAGAAATAGAACCAACAGGAGGAACCACCAGGAAGAGGAAACAGAACAAAACAGAAGGGGAAAAAAAAAGCCGATCATCTGCTTCAGTGTGCGTTCAAACTCCGTGCTTCTTTCTTTGGATGTGGAGAGCGTTTTCCATCACGAGGCCTAAAAAGAATATTTGTAAGAAAAAGAGGAAAGGGGGAAAGTGAGCAAAGCTGACAATGCCCACGGACCGAATCTGGAGGCCTGAGCAGTGTTCAGCGCCCGCGTCCAGAGGAGGGGGACGTCTGTTTACTCTGTCCCTTCTTTGGGGCCACCTCGGCTCTTTTGATCGTTGGGCCGCTGTTGTGGGGCTTGTTTAAAATCGTGGTACGTTATTTTCTTGGCACTGCTGGCGTGGCTCTGCAGCCCTCCCTTCCTGTAGCTACTTTCCTGCTTCTCTGGTTGCTGAGAAATGAGGCACCGTTTCCTAGGCCACAACAGCGTTCCCTGTAGCTTGTGTTGTGATGAGGTCGTGTGTGCGTGCGTGTGTCTTTTGAACAGACTTTCACCTTTATGTCAAATTTTAAAATGGCTAGATGAGTTTCTCCAGTTGTAAAGGAAGGTGTTTGGCTGATCGCAAAGATCACTCCCAGCTGGAGTGTTGTCTTCGTCGTTCCTGTGAGGCGATTGTCGAGCCCGCTGGCCAGTTTTCCGTGCTGTGTTCCCCAGCTCACAGCTCAGTTTTTGCAGTCAGTCCTGGGCGCCCTTGATCTGCCAAGGCATGGGAAGGTGGGTGTCGTCCTCGCCACAGCCCAGCTCCCTCCTCCCCTTCCTGCCTCCTTTGGGCGTCCATCCCCAGAGCAGCTGGGCGGGTGTGGGCCCGTGTTGGACCTGCAGGTGGCAGCATCACCATTCCTATGAGAAGCCTGGTGGGTCAGAAGTGAGCGAGGGGGAGAAGGAACGCACCTGGAGCCCTAGAAGCTGCTTTTAGAGTGCGTGGTGCCCGTCAGGCATCCAGTCTGGACCAGCCCCAAGCCGCCCTCAGTTGTCTCAGCCACGGGGCTCTCCCCTCTGGGTGCCAGCCGCTGCCTTTCTGCCATTTCCCTTGCCCTGCTGGCTGGCATGTGCTAGGCCTTTTAAAGTAGGCACCATAAGTATTCTCATTTTTCACCCGGGGCAGCAGTCTCTGAGAGTGTCTCATCCGTGATCACCCAGCTTCCGATTCTTAGCCCAGTGCCTTCTCTCAACTTTGCCGGGTTGTCTCCAAGGGGACAAAGATTTACATTCTAAAAATATTTTATTGGTATTCCTTGTTTTCATGTCACTTTCATTTTCAAATCTTTCTCTGCCCCCTCTCCAGAGAGTCATTTCTGGTAACAAAGGAGAAAAAACACTCAGAAAAACTAACCAGGCCTCTGCCGAGTAGACCCAGCCTTTACAAAGATGGCAGGCCTCTGTGGGGCCAAGTTCAGTCATTACAATCTCACAGCTTTCAGTTTGGCTTGTTGTTCTTCCCATTTACCTTGTTGGAGTCATTGTGTGTTTCCACTTTGCATCATGTCTTCTTTTCTTTTTCTTTTTACTTTAAAAAAGTGGCACATTTATTAAAAATCAAGACTAACAGTATTGTGCTATTACAATGGTAGCAATTTCAGCAAAAGTAATCACAGTAAAATCTTTCACAATGTGTATTCCTCACAGAGGCAAGGAGGTTCAACAGAAGTAATGAGATAATTTCAGAGGTAGCTCCCTCACAATGAGTATTCGCTACAAAATGTAGTTTGATAGAACTATTTACAGCTGAACCAAAATTTATGAAGGTTGTATGAATACCAGCGCAGCAGTGTGAGACCAAAGAAGTCTGCTTAACATTTCTTAAATGGTGTCAAAGAGAAAAAAACTTCATGCTTTCTTTCAGTTGGTAGCATTTTCACCGAGGTCAGACTCATTCTTAGTAAGTGGAGTTTTCATATTTATTCAGTACCAAAAGTCTCTGATGTCTTTTTGTGCCTGTTTATAGGAAGAGAAATCGTAACCATATTCTGAAGTTCACGCTCTCACGTGCCAGTGTCTCTCCAACCATGATCTTCACATGCTGTCCAACTTCCTTAAAATATAGGGTGTGACGCGCAGCAGGGCCACGTAGAGGAGAAAGTTGCGAACCAAGGAGACCACGTCCTCACGCATCTTGCGCTTGAGTTCCTCGGGGTCCAGCTTCGGCCCCATGTTCTCGAGCCGGAACATGCTGAGTTCAATCTGTCGGTCGTGGACGGCGAAAACCCGTCCTCGGCGGCGGTGCATGCAGTTTGCCGGCTCCCGTGTCTTCTGTCTTCACGTGATTCTCTGTATTCATTTTATCTACCCTTCTTTACAGCACAGTAACATTCTGTTACCGAATTACCAGAGAATTCAGCAAAGACAAGGAGACACTTAATAATAGCTCCAGTAATATCTCAGGATACAAAGCAAACCACCAAAAGAGCCAGAGCTTTTCTTTATGGCAATAACAGAGAGAGTGACTGAGAAAGGCCTTCCCATTCATGAGTATGGCAGAAGGCGTAAACTGCCTGGGAGTTAGTGTAACAGGGCACACCTAAGACCTGTCTAGAGGGTTACAAAATGCTCCTTCAGGAAAGGAAGAAAAACTTAAATAACTGAGGAGAAAGTCCCTCTCCTTGTGTGGCCTGTGCTAGTGCGGCCTAAATGACTCCACAGGTTTAATGCTGTGCCAGGGGACACGTTACAAAGTGAGGCAAGAGAAGAGCAAGATTCTTTTGGAAGGGCAGAGGGCCTAGATGACCCAGGAAAGCAGCCACACCCAGGTGGTGTGAAGGGAAAGCCTTCTGGACCTACCTCCAGTTAGCAGTAACCCTCAGAACTGCTTGATTTAAGACAGTGAAACAAACCAGCAAACAATTATATAAATAACCTGATGTTTGATAGACCTGAATAACATTATCTGCAGAAGAACTCCTTCTGTGACAAGAATTGCCGGGGAAACTGGAGAATAGTGTGGCAAAAATTAGGCTGAGACTAGCAGCTTCATCCCATGTACCACAAGAAACTCAGGGTGTATCTGTGACCTGAATACTAACGGTTGGACCATAAAAAAATGTGAGAGGAGCGAGATTGAGTGCCCATCACTGCCGTGGCCAAGAGGTGACTCCTTAGCCAAAGGATAAAAGCAGTCACAAAAGATAAAAAGGAGATCGCTTTTATGGAGTGAAATTGAAATGTTTCTGCACAAACAAAGTCATTGTAATTGAGCTGTAGAGAGAGGTGGTCACCTGGAGGGGGAAACTTTGTTCGTATTGAATAGCTGTGATCAAGGTCTGCTATCTAGGACATATGGGTAACTAATGCAAATCTGTAAAGCCCCAAGCTAGCAGATGATGGTCAAAGAATACAAACAAACTTCTGAAAAGGAGGGTTTAAAATTATTAACTTTTTCATATTGTTCACAGGAGAAGTGTGAATTAAAACACCTCGGGCTTAGCTCAGCCAATGAGCAATAATGACACACGATGGAAATGGTCAGTGTGAGGAGTGGGTGCTAATGCAGCGCTGGTGGAGCCGTGAGTTGGCTCAACTCTTCTGGAAAGCGTTGTGGAAGTGACTAAAATGTTCATACCCTTTGACCTGGATCGCATGGCTAGGCATGTTAACCCCTGCCTCCCCCCAGGTCAGAGAGAAACAGAAGAGCCCCATCATATGTCTCCAGGTGGTCATAGCAGCCCTTGGAGAGTGGCAGAGAACTGGAAATGAAGTACATGCCCACAGTGGGTGATGGCAGAACTAGTTGAAGGCGCGTGAGTGAAGACGAGGTATCACAGACGGGATGAGAGTCTGCAAGGCTTCGGGAAGGACAGAAAGCTCCCTTCAGGCTTTCCTTGTTTCCTTTTGGACCGAGGCTCATAGACTTGTAGAAGACGCAGCTCTGTAGATACCCCGGACCTAGATCTTATGAATGCCCGTGACAGGGTCTCCCTGGCTGTCGTTGTGGACAGAGTGGAGCAGTGTGGTGGATTCAGAGCCAGCCGGATAGCTGGCCCACCAGGGGTAGTTACTGTTGCTGCCGGCTTTGAGGGAGCTGCTCATTAACCACTAACTAAGACAAAGGCTTGAGTGGCCCTGACCACAGATAGTCAGCAAGCATTTACTGCGCAGCCCTGGGGCTACGAGGAAAGGAGAGGGGGAGAGTTCCTCCTCATGGAGGACTGCCTCCCTTGGTGGGTGACAGAGACAAGCTTTAGGAAGTCTCAGCAGACTGGATCTCTTTCATACGACGTTGAATGGGAGCCAAAGTAAAGTGCAGCCCCTGGCTCTGAGTCATCCACTTCACAAGTACAGGCTTCATCTGAAGAAGTGTCCGGAAGCCTGTGGCCTGGTCACCAGTGCCGTGCGTCGTCCTCCTTCATCCTAGGGCCCCCCCCCATTTTGGGAAGGACTTTGATAAGCTGGAGGCAATGATGTGTGGACGGTGGCGCCCCATGAGGGTGACCTCTTAGAGGCCTTTCATGGTCATGCCCTAAGAGGATGCCTGGGCTAGCACAGGGGTTCTTCCCCCTTTTTGTTGTGGTGGGTCATGAGACCCCTTGGTGACAAAGGAGTGCAGAACCCCTGCCGATTCTAGGCTCTGCTTTGAGGGCAGGATGGTAGGAGGCAGTCCAGGGAGTTCTGGTTTGCATCTCACACTCAGGAGACAAGAAGGGCGTGTCGTCGAGTCATAACAAAGCCCTCCTCTGAGAGGAGGCTTGAGGGCTCCCGAAGAGAGTGAGAGCAAAAATAAGGGAGAAAGCCTGGTGAGACTGGAGCTGGCGAGCACCACCAGTGTTTTCATCCGTGTGGCTGTTCCCACCCCACAGGCGAATCGTAGCTCCAGCTGCCCATGTCTCTCCGGTAGCTGGGGGATGGGCTGGACTGGCTTTCCTGTGAGAGACCCCCAATCTGCCCTGGGCCAGGATGGGCTGTTTCTCTGGTCAGTGGGAATGACCAGAGCTCCTGCTCACTGGTCACCTCCACAGCCTGAGCACACATCTCAGAGCTGGAGTCTAATGAAGGGACTGTGCTGTAGATGTGACACAACTAAAGTTATGGGTCAGCCTTCAGTTATTAAGCTCTCGCTGTATGCCAGGCTTCAGGAATATAAACACAAACAAAAAGAGAGAAGGTCCCTGCCCTCGGGCACGCACTTATGTTCCCGTGTGCCTTCACGGAGCTTGTCTGTCTGAGGGATTCCGGGTTGGAGGGCAGGCCACAGCGGGAGCAGCTCTCCTCTCCCTCTGCTGACATCCGTCTACCCGCCAGGCCCTGCATTGCGCGCTTCTTCCTCCATACACCCCTGGAAATGAGCTCTTCCTCACGCTCTCTCTGCCTGTTTGTTCCTCTGACGCCCATCTTATGAATAGTTTTGTGTTTCCTTTGTCCGCACACATGTTTATCACCTCTCCTAGATTATAAGCACCCAGTATTGTTTGTCCTTTTATTGCCCTCCGGTTCTTCTCATGGGATAGGGAGTCAGTAAGTGGTTGAATGGATTGAGTAACTATGATATTGATTCCTTATTTTTGTTTTGCTTTGGATTTTGGGGGGGTTAAGGGACTCGCCCAGGGTCACAACAGTTAGTATATATCATGTGTCTGAGGCTGAATTTGAACCCAGGTCCTCCTGACTCCAGGGCCAGTGCTCTATCCACTACACCATCTAGCTGCCCCTTGATACTGAGTCCTTAAATGTGATCTAAAACCCTGGTCTAGAGAGCGATATTTTATGAAGCAGGTCATAAGGTATCCAGTTACGTTATTGGAGAAATACAGAATTTTAGACTTAGAAGGTACCTTTTTGGTCCCGGAGTTTAGTCTGCATATCATCTTTCTTAGGTGACCCCTCACAGTAACACACACGTTACTTAAACCTGGTCTCCTGAGTCCCATTATTCCCCCGCTGCCCCTCTGGCTTTCTGTAGTGCACGTTCATCGTGCAGGGCTCTTGGTCTCAGATTTCTGTGTCGGTGGAGCCTGCGTCCATCAGCTCAGCATGCGGTGTCGTCGTGTACTTGCCGTGTGAGGAGCATCGAAGTTCCCCGGCTGTGGCAGAATCTGACCAATTTGACAGCCTGAGGTTTCACATTAGATACTTTGGGACAGGAAAGAAGGAAGAGTCTGTCCCAGCACAGCGCGTCATTTTATTTCTCTCTGGTTTGTGAGCTGACCCTGCTGACTGTAAAGCTGGGCCTTTGGGATGAAAGGAGTGGGCCGACCCAGTCCCTGCCTGGAGGAAGCATTCCTGAAGGTTCAGGCCTCCTTAGGGATGACGGTTGTCCTGGTGAAACGTTTGCTTAGCTCCCTCTTCAGCTAAGTTCTCTTCCCTTTGACACTTCTGGAGGATACAGAAAGGCAGCGCTTTGGGGAAAAAATGACTGTCTCAAGAAGATTTTCAGGAAAAGGAGGTGTTTTGTGAAAGCCGAAGCCAAAAGGGAAGGTGACCCAACGTGTCCAGTGTCTTCTCGTCACCTTGTTCATGTGGCCAGAAGAAGTTCTCTTCTAGATGCCTCAGTCAGTCAGTCCACAAGCACTCAAGTGCTTTCTCTGTGGCCCATACCATGCTGGGCCCTGGGGATACAAAGAAAGGCAAAAATCTGGTCCCCAGCCTCAGAGCCCATAGTCCAAAGCTGGAAACAACTTTGAGCCGGCACTTAGATCGAAGGTGGAGAGTGATCTCAGAGGGGAGACCTAGCAGTGGGGGGCGGACCAGGAAAGGCCTGCAGAAGGTGGGCTTTGAGCTGGGAGGTGGAGAGGAAGAGGGAAATTCTCCTGGGCATCGTCAGGTGATGGAGCGGAGGAAGGTGCAAGAAGGCCAGAAGATTGGGAAGGGAGCAAGTTCTGAAGGGCTTTAGTCTTGGAGGCCTTAGGAAGCCACTGGAGTCTGTGAATGTGTGAGCGAAGCAGTTACTACCACCTCTGTGCCAAGCACTGTGCTGAGTGCTGGGGATGCAAAGAGTCGGGCAGGTCCCACTCTTGTGACACTCACGTTCTGATGGGGGAGACGCATCCATGGACTATGTGTCAGGTAGAGGGAGGGCCATGGGCTTCACCCACCCTTTTAGGAGGGTCTCTGGCAGCTGAGTGGAGATGGGCTGGAGGTCGGAGAGACTCAGAGCTGGAGGCCAGCCCGTGGGCTGTCGCAGTGGTGTCGGTGTGAGGTCATGAGGGCCTGCTCCAGGATGGCGGCTGTGTGAGCAGAAAGGATGGGCGCGTACAAGAGATAGTGGGAAGATAGAACTAGTGAGACTCGAGTGGGAGGGAGGAACAGAGGGTGATGCCAAGGTTGTGATCCAGGCATTGGAAAGATGGTGATACTCCAAAGCTCATCATCTTTTGGGTCAAGGGAGGTTTGGAAGGGAAATTTGAGTTCTATTTTGGACATATTGATTTTTTTAAAAAAAATTTTAATTAATTTATTTTGATTTATCAGTGATCACTTCCATAAACTTTTCAGTTTTAAATTTTTCTCCCCCTCCTTCCCTCCCTCTCTCCCCAAGATAGTGCACAATCTGATATAGCCTATACATATACATTCCTGTTAAACACTTTTTCACATCAATGATGTTGTAAGGAAGAATTAGAACCAATAGGAGGAACCACCAGAAAGAGGAAACAAAGCAATACAGAAGAAAAACAATTGCAAATAGTCTGTTTCGATCTACATTCAAACTCCGTAGTTCTTTCTGTGGATGCGGATGGCATTTTCCATCATGAGACTTGTGGAGACATCTTAGATCCTTGCATTGCTGAGAAGGGCTGAGTCTGTCAACGTTAGTCATGGCACAACGTGGCTGTGACTGTGTGCGATGTTCTCTCAGTTCTGCCTGCTCATCATTTCTTATAACACAATAGCATTCCATTACATTCATGTCCCACAACTTGCTCAGCCATTCCCCAGTGGATGGGCGTCCCCTCAGTTTCCAATTCTTTGCCCCCACAGAAAGAGCTGCTGTAAATATTTTTGTACTTGTGGGTGGGCATACTGATTTTAAGATGGCTTTGGGACATCCAGGTCAAGAAGTCCAAGAGGTGATCCTGGAGCTCCAGAGAGAGGTTAGGGCTGGATTTATAGATTAGGTCATCACTCCTGTGGAAATGGTTGAGCCCACGACTACTGAAGAGGTCATGAAGTGAGGTGGCATAGGAGGGGAAAGGAGAAGCTCCTGGACAGAAGCTTAGGGGTAAACTGGATCCAGATCCAGCAAAGGTGAATAGGTAGTACTCAGTCTGGTAAGAAGAGGCCCAAGATAGAGCAGCTTCCAGACGGGGCGTCAGCAGTGTCAGAGGCTGCACAGAGGTGAGGCTGTTGGCTGAGCCCTTCGGAAGTCGTTGGCGGCTTGGGAGGAAGTACACCGAACGCCTCTACCTCCTGACTGTGAGAGATGCGGGGCGAGCAATGCGCGCTTCTCCTGTTGTCTTTAGAACTCATCCAGCATCCCTCGCCATTTCTTTGGTCTCTCTGTCAGAAGCACATTCGCCAACTCTCTGTCCCCCCATCCTGCCCTAGCAAATGAGCACAGAGATTCTGTTCCCCATCAATCGGTCTGTCAGTGCACATTTATTAAGTATCTGATTTGTGCCAAGCACTCTGTTGAGTGCCTTCTGCTCCCTCAGAACTACTCAAAAGTCCATCTGCTTACCAGTGGAATGCGAAGTTCCATTATATGTGGGGAAACGGATGTAACGCACATATTCTGGGGTTTAGAGGGTTTACTTCGTTTTGGGTTTTGGTTTTTGCAGAGGCCTGTTGCTTTCACTAAGTGTGGAGAAAGCTGTTTGGGGGATTAAAGCTTGAGTGTTGACAGCATAACCTTTGAAAATAGAGCACCGCTTATGTGCTCTTATGTGCTCGCAGAGCTTAAGGCAGAGCACGGGTTTCTTTTTAAATTTAAATTTATTGTTTTCAGGTAACAAAAAATAACTCTCACTCCCACCCCTTCCCTCTCTACCTCCCCCAGCCCATGGGGAAGAAAACAGACAGACTACAAAATACTTGTCACAAACATGCATCACCAAGGAAACAAATTCCTGCATTGGTCATATCCAAAAGACACGTATGTTTCAGTTTACCCTGAGGATGTCACCTCTCTTTCAAGAGCATGTTTCATCTTGAGTCTTCTGGAATCATGAGTGGTTATTGTGTTGGTCAGATGGCGGAGTAAAAGCAGTGACTTGCTTGAGCTTTCCCCCCAAACCCCTCCAAATACCTGTAAAAAATGACTCTAAACAAATTCTAGAGCAGCAGAACCCGCAAAAAGACAGAGTGAAACACATTTCCAGCCCAAGACAACCTGGATGGTTGACAGGAAAGGTCTGTTGCACCAGGCTGGGAGAGGAGCACAGTTCAGCGTGGGCCACACAGGCAAAGACCAGGCCTCAGCAAACCTGAAGCAGCCCTTAAGAGACTGAATCACAGGCAGCTGTTTCCAGACTTCTCAACCCACAAATGCCAAAGACATTTAGAAGGTCAGTGGGAAAGGTCTGTCGGGTGAGAGAGGAAAGTGGTTCAGCCCTAGCCCTAGTGAAATCCCCGGGGTGGCGGCCACAGCGGCAGCAGTTGCTTCGCGAGCTCTCGATCCGTAGACAGTGGGGAAATCGAGTGGCTGATCAGAGGGGGATTGCAGGGATCTCTTTGCTGGTACCGAGGCAGGGTTCTCTTGTTTTGCCTGTGCTTGGCTCTAGGTCATAGTACTGGGTGGTGGTCCTGGGGTGAAGAGAAGTGCTGGTGTGGCGGGGCTTGTGGTCATGGCGCAGAGGGAATCCTCTTCACAGTTCCAAGGCAAAAAAGAGTGCTTGTGGTCACTCATAGACCAGAGCACAGGCCAGGAAAAGAGTAAACACCTCCCCTTTGATCATACCACCTTGGAAGAACTGAAAATTTACAGGTCCCCAGAAGTGTCTCTGAAAGCAGCTGTACAAAACCCCTGAAGTTTGGGACAGTACACCCTCTGCTTAACAAAGAATTAAGAAGTCAAATGATTGGCTGGGAATATGAGCTAACAGGAAAAAAACCTCAAGACTATAGAATCTTACTTTGGTGACAAAGAATATCAAAACATACAACCAGAAGAAGACAATAAAGTCAAAGCTCCTACATCCAAAGCCTCCAAGAAAAATATGAATCGGTCCCAGGCCATGGAAGAGTTTCAAAAAGGATTTTGAGAAGCAAGTAAGAGAAGTGGAGGGAAAACGGAGAGTGATGCAAGAATATCGTGAAAAACAAGTCAACAGCTTGCTAAAGGAGACCCAAAAAAATACTGAAGAAAATAACACCTTAAAAAACAGCCTAACCTAAATGGCAAAAGAGGTCCAAAAAGCCAGTGGGGAGCAGAGTTACCTATCACCTCTGTATAAAGAAAAAGAGTTTGGTGAGAGAGGGGAGCAGTCTGCTCTAGGTTGGATGCAGTTTGCCTCTGGTCCCCTGCCCCTCTTTTCTCTCCCCCACCCAGAACCCAGTTTTTGATTTCTTCCATTTTAAGCCTCTCTTCACCATCCACTCTGTAGTTAAGTTGGTTTGGCTTATGACTAATCACTGTCTTTCTGGTCTCCCTCTTATTCTCCCTTCTCACCTTTCCCTCCTGCTCCCTGTTGAGTGACATGTATTTCTGCACTCCACTGTGTGTCTGTGATATGTGTGTGTGGCATTTGTGTGGTGTGGTATGTGTGTGTCTATAGATGTATAATGTGTTGTGCGTGTGTGTGTGTGGTATGTATGTTGGATGGGGGGAGGCGTTCTTCCCTTCTTCGAGCAGTTCAGATGAGATTCAGGTTTGTGTTGCCTTCTTCCCTCTACCCTTTCTTCCTCATTGTTTTGTTAGAGTGACTTACTTACCCACACGAATTATGGGAGATAATTTCTCCCACTCTTCCTCCAAGTATGCCTTTCTCTCTTCTTTCCTCTTTTAAGGTCATTAACACATAAAAAGAGAACTCCATTCCCAGACTCTGTTGTATTAGATTCCCTCAAGGCCTCAATGAATATAGGGTTCTGAGGGGACACATGAATCATCTCCCCATATTAAAATGGAAACAGCTGATCCTTCTTTAGTCCCTTGTGATTACTCTTGTGTTTACTTTTTATTTTTCTTTTGACTCCTGTGTTTATATTTCGAAGTTTCTCTACAGCTCTTATCTTTTCATCTGGAATGCTTAGAAGCCCTGTTTCATTAAAGATCCATTTTTTCCCCTGTAGGATTATACTTAGTTTTGCTGGGAAAGTTAATCTTGGTTGTAAGCATTTATCGTTCGCCTTCAAGATTGCATTCTGAGCTTTGCATCCCTTCTTAGTGGTGCCCACTAAACTTTGTGTGACCCCGACTGTGGCTCCTAGTACTTGAATTTGTTTGTTTTGGCCGCTGACAGTTTTTGGTTTTTGTTTTCACTTAGAAGTTCTGAGTGTCAGCTATGGCAGTTCCTGGGACTTTTCATTCGGGTGTTTCCTTCAGTAGGTGAATGGTGGATTCTTTCTGTCTTCACTTTGCCCACTGGTTCTGAGCTCTCTGGGAAGTTTTGTTTTATAATTTCTTGAAATGTCGTTTAGGTTCTTTTTGTTCATAGCTTTGAGATTGTCCAACAATTCTTGAATTACTTCTCCTTGATCTGTTTTCCAGGTCAGTTTGTTTTTGTTATGAAATATCTTACAGTTCATTTTTTTCCAACTTTTGGTTTTTTTTGTTTTTGTTTTTGCTAGGCAGTGGGGTTAAGTGACTTGCCCAGGGTCACACAGCTAGTAAGTGTTATGTGTCTGAGGCCTGAATCCAGTCCTGGTGCTCCATCCACTGTGCCACCTAGCTGCCCCTTTTTCCAACTTTTAAACTTTGCCTTTTAATGTTTCTTGCTTTCTCATGGAGTTATTAAATTATATCCGGTCCATTCCGATTTTCAGGAAGTCTTTGGCTTGGGTATGGCTTTATCCCTCTTCTTACAAGCTGTTAATTCTCTCTCTAGTTCTTCTGTAACTCTCATTTCCGTTCTGTTTTTCTCGTACTCTTGTTTCTTTTCCAGTTGCTCCTTCCAGTGCATTTATTTGATGTGTAAAGTCATTTTTAGCTCTTTTCTTCTCTTACCTCTTGCTTCATCTCGTACTAGAATTGTAGCTGAACTTGTCCCCAAGCTGTGTTTCTCTTTGAAGGTTTGCTTGGAAATGTTTTGGAGCCATTCCCTCCTCTTGTGTTTGTGTCTTAAACATTCTCAGCACCGCACTCGTTCTTTATGGTGAGACTGTGCTCATTCTTCTGTCCTCACTTCCCACCTTGGGACTTTGTGTCAGGGCCAGGCTCTGGACCCTTCTGTGGGGAATGGCCGGACTGTACTCGGACCTGTTTTGTGTCTTCTTGCTTCCTGCTCCTGTTTTCTTGGGCGTTAAGGGAGTTGTGCTGTCTTCTAGGATCTCAGGGACAGTGCAGCATGGAGAGCCGCAAGCTGATCCAGACAAAGGGTGACTGCTGCCCAAAGGGTGACTGCTGCCCTTCTGGTATGAGTGCTGCCAGGTCCTGACCGGCATTTGGGTCTAGGCAGCGTTCCTGCGGGCTCACCCTTGGTTGGAGCTCCAGTGGACTGCTGCTGCCTTCAGCTCTTGTCAGGCAGCTGGAGACCTCTGCTGGCCCAGAGTGGCACCTGGAGGCTTCCCTCTGGTCTGGGACTCCTTCCCTGTCCGGCCTGGGTCTGCTGTCCCCCCTGCTCTCCTGGCATCAAAGCCACACAGCTGGTACTTGCTTGCCTGCTTGCTCAGCGCTTCAGATACGGCTGAGGGCCCAGGGTTACGTTGCCCTTGATTACCACCCGTAGCTGCCGGTCTCCTGCTGTAGTCCACACTGGATCTGTGTCCCCAGCATTGGGTGGTGAGCATCAGAGGTGTCGGTTACCACCTGCCCAAGGTCAAGCCCCTTTGGGGAAGTCTCCATATGTGTCCCTGGCTAGACCCCATCTCCTTCTGCTCACTTGGCCTGGAAAAATGACTCACCAAGGTTTTTTTCCTTGGATTTCCTGATCAGGATTTAATCTGGGGTGATTTCTAGATGTAGGGAAGAGCCTGGCTGTGCTACTTCCTTTTCTTCTGCCATCTTGGGTGGTTTCCTCCAAGTGTTTCCTTTTCAGAAAACCAAAATTTTCCTTTCCCTGGGCTGTTTTCTATTCAAGTCCCAACTTGTAGATGCTAGGGGCGTATCATCAGTGCCTCTTTGTTTCCATAAAGATTGATTTTCTTTCAATTTCAACTCTGAAGCAAATGAGTATGTCTGAGTCTTAATTTTCACTGGGTACTAGATAGAGGCTGCAGCCCCTGAATCTAAAGTGATGCTTGCTTTGTTCATGCAGAATTTCAAAAACTTTGGAGGAGCATCACTGTGGATTCTATGGATGAGGAGAAAATTGAAGAGTATCTGAAGCGACAGGGTATTTCTTCTATGCAGGAGTCTGGACCAAAGAAAGTGGTATGTATGATCTAGAAGTGGCATTTCAGTAACACTGAATCGGGGGGGCTTTTTTGGAGAGGAATCAGTGGAAATATAGTGTACTCCAAAAGGTATTTTTAAATGGTTTCTGGAGAAGGTAATGGATGGATGGATGATGGGCTGTTTTTAGCTACTTGAGGCCTCTCCAGGGCTGACCTCCTTGCCCAGTTTTGCCCAGGAGTAAGATTACTAGTTTGCAAGTTCATTGAATTTTCTTCGTTGATCTTGGATTGTTTTCCAGAATAATTAAGTGAGTTCACATCTCTACCAATAATAGATTAGTAAGCCAGGACATACAGTCCTGTAGCATCACTGAAAGAATATTGTTAAAAAAAAAAAAAGGGACTGTGTTTCAGGGAGAGCCCTAAGGGCTTTTCAGAAGTGCTGGGCAGTGTCTCAAATGCCACCCAGCCCCTCCTCCCCCCCACTTTCCCCTTCCCATTTTGTTTGGGGCCCAAACAGTTGTCCACTGGACTGAAAGGTGAACTCACGACACCTCTTCCAATCTTGTATTCATTACCTGTTTACAAGAGAGCAAGGGATTCTGCCGAGTGATAAACCAGAAAGAAGAAAAGTAAAAGCTAGCTCTCGCAGGCCAGCAGCATCTGTAAATACAGAATCGACATCTTTACTCTTTGTGATTTGGCCTCCCTCGTCTCTTCACCCTGAGCGTGTTTTCCAGACCTGTTTTTCACTACAGGGCACTGACATACATGTGTGTCTGTTGGTCTGATTTGGAGGGCCTTTCTTAATCCGTGCCAGAACAGATCTAGGCACACCCTGAGCCCATGTCTCGCAGGGCATGTCTCTTCACCAGAGTGTGCCTGACGCGGGGCACTGCCCGGCATTGATCCACTGAGTTCTGCTCAGAGCAGAACGCTCTAGTGTAGGAGAGCCAGAGCTCACAGTGCTTGGGCCTTTGCTTCAAGAATTTATTCCTCTCTGCACCACAGTGAGGCATCAGAGCAGAGCTCTTGGAGGCTTTGTCATACGTACTGTGGTAAGGTGGGGACACACTGAGCACTGGTGAGGTGTGAGATAAGGAGACCCCTTCAGCAGAGGAGAAAACCACCTGGGTGACCCTGATGTGGGGAAGGAGGAAGAAGATGGGCCTGAGCACCCACATTAGCCAGAGGGACTCCCGCAGGGCACCCAGCTGAGCATGGTAGCCTGTCGGCTTCGTTAGCGTGTGTCTCATGGGTAGTTACCTGGCCAAGAATTGCATAGGAAGAGCAGTCAGACTGGATTACAGTTGGAAAATTGTACCGTGCTTTTGGGATTCCCAGATGCTTCTGGAAACCAGTGTTCATGCGGGGTCGTGATACGGCTCCCACATGGGCTCCACGGTCTCTAAAAATCCAGGTCGCACCAGGGACATTGGGGGGATTTATGAAGGGTGGGGGTAGACTGCAGGCTGGAGGGATGGTGACTGTGCATGAAATGACAGCAGAAATAGAGGGGCTCATCCTGGGTGACCACGAATGGGTGCCCCAGGGAACGAGGCCGCGTGGCTCATGGCTTGTTTGTGAGATGGGAAGAGACCATCAACATGGAGGGCCAAATTACTCACAGCTTTAAAGCCAGCCTGGTGCGTTGGAAAACAGGATGCCTGATTGGGCCTTCCTCCACCTCTCTGGCTTTAGTCAGGTCACTGTGAGGGTCTGGGGTGCCCATTGTGCCACGCAGACTAAGGAGAGATCCTGTTGTCAATGGCTGCTTGCGGTCCTGAGCAGACCGCAGCCCCAACCCCGCCCAGCCTGCCTGCTAATGAATGCTGCTGCCGGTTTCTGTTTTTTCCACAGGCTCCCGTCCAGCGGAGGAAGAAGCCAGTGTCACAGAAGAAGCGGAGGTTCAAGACTCACAATGAGCACTTGGCCGGGGTCTTGAAGGATTACTCCGACATTACTCCGGGCAAACAGTGAGCGGTTTCCTTGCGACCAGCTGCGTTCACGGAGGATCTCGACTGAGGATGCTCGGGCTGGTGTTGGCTGGAGGGCGGCCCCTTCTCCCTACCTGTGGAGAGAAAGCAGCTCCTTTACAGGACGGGGTGAGGTGCCAGCCTCCTCTGACCTTGCTTGGATCGATTGGCCGCGAGGTCATTCCTCTGGGTTCACTCACTGGTGGAAGAGGTGCCTGCCAGCGCCATCATCATCCGATGTTCAGCTGTGCTTCTGCTCACGGCTCCACTTCCCCCTTCTGTTATTAGAGCAAGTTTGCAGATAGAACTGAACGCAGTGTGTGTTTACTCTACGAGAACCTATTTATAATAAAACCATTGTGGAAACATGTTCGAGGGAGGAGTGAATTCTGTTTGTTTCCTTTCTCTTCAGCAGCCTTAGTTAAACTCTAGGAAAGGTGCCCACTTGTGGGGAAACGCAGCCCTGGGAAAGCTTGGGTCGTCCAGGACAGTGACCCGAGCACTGCCTCTTGTTCGATGGTGGCAGCGGTGAAGACGGCACGGATGTTATTTCCGAAGGACTTGATTTACAGCTCGCTCAGATGTTTCAGGCTTAGGCCGTTGCGGGCTGACGGGGCATTCCAAAATCCAGAGCACGTTGTCTGGTCCTCCTTGCGGACTTTGTGTCTAAAAGCAGCGGCATGCGTTGGCTGGATGGCGGACGCTGCCTTCTGCTTTTGTCTCGACCTTCCTGTTCCCATTTTCCTTACTGATTCTCCTTTGTACTTTCTCCTTGGTCTCTGTTTCACTATCAGTGGCTGTGCTTCCAGGTAGCATTAGTGAAGCTCTGTGGGCAGTGATGCTCCTTGGGATTCTTAAGGATGTGCAAGGAGATGACTGAAGGGGGGTGAAGGGATTTGGGTTTCTGTGGCCCCTAATTCAAAGGCCACGTGTCAGTGCCCTGCACCTTCGTTCTGGTGATGGCGTATGACCAGAAGGATTGCCTCTGGTCGCGTCCACTTCCCAGATTCTCTGGGTGCAGATTGTCACCAAAGGAGAAAGTAGAAACATCCTGGGCAAGGGATACTGTGGTGTTATGAATACAGAAGAAACCTTTTCTGAACTCGACAAAAGTGGGAATCTGCCATTCAGGTCTGTATGGGACACCGAGTTAGTGGGATCTGTGGAAACAGTGTGGCTTGGTGGAGAAGGCACCGAGCCCACATGAATAATCCCACCTGCAGCATGCATACATCACAGGACTGTAGATTTAGAGTTGGGTGGACCCTCCAAGGTCATGGAATCCACCCACCTCATTTCGCTGAAGGCCCACCGGCTGACCAAGCCATCACTTGAACACAGATCTTTGAACTCTGAATTTCTAAAATAACCATGCTGATTTTTCTTGGTTCAGAGGGTCCAGCTTTTCAAGAGAAGTGGTGATATTTTGTATTTGTATATACATTTTTCTTGGGTTTCTATTTTTTAATTTTAATTTTTAAATTCTAGATTTAACAAATATCAAAAACACAAAAGCAAAACACATGAGCATCTCCATATACAAAGCAGAATGCAAAAGGGTTGTCTGTGAACTTTTGCATTCTGTGTGCTTTTTTAAAATGCATATAATAAATTCACATAGTACTTTCAAAATGGTCTTCCTTGTCTGTTCTTTCTCCTGAACTTCCTCCTGTTCTCTGTGCCTTTTGAAAGTGTTTCAACACTTATCCTCTTTCTGAGGAAGGAGGGGGCCTGTCGCTACCTACCCTGCCTTACCCTCTCTCCCACCAACTTCTTCCCCCAATTAAAAGCAGACAAATTAACAGAGTCCCCTTGCAAACGAATGACTGAAGGCATGGATACAGAAGAACTCATCTGCACCCAATTTAACCTGACAGCTCTTCTCCTTGAAAAGGTGAAGCATTTCCTTGTTCAGGTCGGCCCCAGGGATGCTCTGCCAGCTTTATGGTGCCTCTGCAGCATCCCCAGCAGGTGGTCATCAGACAGCTGGAACCCTTCAGACCTCGGGGGACAGCTCCCTCCATCCTGTGCCCGGATGGCGTCTCTCTGTCTTCTGTAAAACCTTCCACTGAAGACGAGCCAGCTCAACCTGCTGTTTTAGGGATGAGGAAACTGAGGCACGGTGAGGTTAAGAGGGACTGCCTGCCATCGCTGAGGTCATTAAGGCAGAGCTGAGCTTCATCTGGGTGTTCCCAACCTGCTGCTCCCCCCTTTCTAGTTATCTCCTTGTCTGCCCCTCAAAACCTCACAGCTGAATTGAAGAGTTCTAGAGAACTTGTAATATGAGGTGGTTTTTTGGGGTTTTTTTAAAGGTATTATGATGGAAACTTAACATTTGTCTCCATGGAAGTACCTTGTCTCTACCATTTTGTTCTGTGTCTCTGAGTCTCAAAGGCATCATCTTGCTTTGCACAGACTCAAGCCTCAAGTTTTTCGAGACCTGCCTTCCAAGCAGGCCCGTTGGGGGTGAAGTCAGAGAAGGACAGAGTTGGGTGGGGGCTCTCAGATGGGCAAATTGAAGGCAGCTTGCCAAGGTCACTTAGATCACTGGGCTCCGGACGCCACGTTTGTCCTCGGAGCAGGTTAGATAGAGCTCCTACTCTAGGTCACAAAGGCCTCACCCTCTCATCTGTGGTTTGTATGCACACACATACACTCTGCAGCCGAGTTGTGCGGTTGTATTTTGAGGATGAAATCAAACAGATGAGGGCCTCCTCCAGTTCCTCAGGGTGGCGTGCCACATTTGAAGCCCTGCAGCCACTAAAAGCTACTGTTGAACTGTCCCTAATCTCTCCAGCCATTTGAAGTGTGACCAACTGGAAAACCGAGCCTGAGCGCGTTTTTGTGAACCAGATTAATAATTCATCCTGGCTGTTCAGGGCTTTCACGGGAGGGAGAACGTGCTTGAGCCCGACGCACTGGGGCCGCCGTGGCTGTTGCTTCCCGTCAGTGCAGCCGAGTGATGGTGGAGGCACGAAGGAGAGCAGAGCATCCCCCACCTGCTGCGGAAATGCTCTTAAAAGGCCGAGGGGGGGGGCACCGGCCCCCTGCTGCTCAGATTCAGGTCACTGGCGTTTTTATTTCTTGGAGGCGTTCCCTCAAGGGGTAGAGGGCAAAGCCAATTCCTGGCTCTTCAACTAGCTAGAGTCGTTTTTTAGGCAGACCAAAGACCTTCCCTCAGAATACCAGGGACCACAGACATTCCTGTTGATTTACAAAATGGGGTACCTGAAGGAGGCAGCTTTCAGCTTTCTTAAGCCCCCTGTTCTGATGAGGCACAAGAGGACTCAATAAGTCCTGGCTTAATTGGATTACTTCCTCTTTTTCTCAGAGCAAATGTTCTCATGCGTGATCTGCCCAACTGAGAGAAAGAAGGAAGATTTCAAGGACACGGGTCTTGGAGAGAAGCATTATTCGTTTGGAGGGGACGTTGGTTAAAACATTGATCCTGCTGTGCAGGGTAATGTGCTTGGCTTCGAGAGTATAAAAACAAAGGTGAAAAGTATCCTTTATGCTCAAAGAGCGCTCCTTCTCCTGGGGAATACAGCATAGGACCATATAGGTAAGCATAGGGCAGCGTTAGGAGGGAGGAATCGCCAATAGCTGGTTCCCGGGAGACTTCCTGCAGGAGGTGGCACCAAGCTCAGCCTTGAAGGACACTGAGGATTCCAGACACAGAAGTGAGGAAGGAGGGGCCCCCAGGCTTGGAGGTGGGAGATGAAATGTTAAATTTCAGGCAGGTGGGCCAGTTTGCCTGGAATTCATCCTTCCTGGGCTGGAGTAATGCTGAATGTCTGGAGCCAGGCCTTAAATGTCCTGAAAAGACAGGAGCTTGGGTCTTGTGGAGGGAAGAGGGGCCACTGCATTTCTTGAGCAGGGTAGGCATTGCTTAAGACCTTTGCTCTAGGAAGATTGTTTTAGTAGCTGTTAGCAAAGGAATGGGTGAGTGGAGACACAAGAGGCAGGCAGGTCTTACCAAGCCACTTGCAAACAAATCTGCCCTAAAATTTTTCAGCTCACCTTAAAACTGGTTTACATGCCTTGATGAGATGCTAACTGATAATGGAGGGAGGCCGTGAGCACCCCTGCCAGGAGGAAGCCCCCAGTCATCGCCAACCAGCGGTCCACGGGCGGAACACTGAATGGGCTGAGGGGTGCAAATCCTGTCTGAATCGTTTCTTTTCAGACACCCTCCTACCATGTGGCCAGGAAGACTGACCCATCCCAGCCTGTGGTGGGAAGCCCATCGGGCATTGAACCAAAGACAAGCTGTAGGCCTCAGCATCCCAGGACTCAGAGGCATCTGCTGAATTAGGCCCCATACAGAAATTGGTTCTACGAGTCAGCTTGACAAGCAGTTTCCAGCCCTCACAGAGACATCTGGAGAAGGGCACCTCTCCCCGCCCTAAACCACGCATTTTTGGACTGCCTCATTGTTAGTTTACCGTTGTATTGAAGGTGTCCGTGTGTCAAAATTACAAAGAATAAGCATGGCTTTCTCTTTGAAATCTCTCTTGAAACTAACTATCCCTGCCCCCTGTGCCAGCAGAGCCAGTCGAACTGCCCTCCAAATGGAGGAGGACCTGGCGATGAATCTGTCAGCTGTTGCCATCCCTGTGACCTCAAACAAGCCACTGTCACCTTTCTTCTCTGGGCTTCAGTGGCTTCATTTGCCAAACGAGGGGGCTAATTACATGTCTTCTTTAGTCCCGTCTGCCTCTAATCTGTGAAATGATTGTGACATCACAAAAGTCCTTGGAAACAACTGTCATGTTTACCCCTTCAAAAAAATGCATTTTTATTGCTATCTTTTCTTTTTACATCACCCAAATTTTTCACCATATCCCTCCTCTCTTCTTCCAAAGAAGCATCCCGTATGACAATGAAATTTTTGAAAGAAAAAAAAAATGAGGAAGAAGAGAAAAACAGTGAAACTGATGAACACATCCAAAAAGGCTGAAAACATATAGCATTCCACGCCTCCCATCTCTGCAGAGGCGTGGCATGGTGTGTTCCTTTTCTTTTGGGAGACATGCTTATTCTTTGTAATTTTGATACATTCACTTGCAAGGTGATGTCACTGAAGTGAGCTTGTTTGATAAAGGCCTAGAGAAATGAAAGCAGGTATTTTTATGATGTGAAAGTCTTAGCCAAAGCTGACTTCTTACCTGTTGACCTCCCTCTCCCACCCTGTACCTCTGTCCTCTGGGCACCCATTGCATACAAAAGTGGAAGCCGTATTTCTCTGCATTCATAGTTACTCTTATAACCCAACAGGAAAGTCAGAGAAAGCCCTTGAAGAGAACTTTGTTGGCAGTGTTTCTCTTTGGACCACGTAAAATCCTGTATTTCTGAACTGGGGAGAAATCT